GTTAAGCCTTCTAAAGATACCCTCGCGGCCTGTCTATTAGCAAGGGTGCTATTTATGTTGATGACGTAAATAGACCATGTTGCCTTTCAAATTCCCACTTTGTCTTTCACATTCCCACTTTGCCTTTTTTCCTCGACGCGACAAGCCGTCACACAACATTATGCTTTCGCTCTCGACCATCGCCGCCCGCCTTCGCGCGATCGCCTTGTGCCCGTGCCTTCCTGTCGGTCTTCACGGCCTCTCGGCGATGCTCGCGCTTCTCGCGACGAGCTGCATCGGCCGCTACATGCAGTCGACGTCCTGCAGCGCATACGTTCAAGAAATTAGTGACATGGATGCGTTCGAGCTCTCGTTAACTGCAGCGATTGTCGCCGCCGTGCTCAGTACCGGCGGTGCCTTTGCGGCTGCGTACCGCACCAAAAGCTATGTGGCGCACCGGCCCGTTGTTCTCGCGTTCACCCTCGCGAGCTTGGTGTTCGTCCTCGCCGCAAACGCGTCGCTGGGCGATGCGTATGCGAGCGACCATGTGTGTGCGTCGAGCCATCGTAAACAGGATTTGGTCTTGGAGGTCCGCGCCCTCTGCAACGTCAACTGCGATGCGCTGCATGCAAGCGCGAAGATGGCGGTCTTTGTGGTCATGGCACTCTTCGCCTCGCTCGTCGTTGGTACGTACCAGCACTATACGGCGCAGCGCATCGTGGTCGTCGAGAGCGCTGGCACGCCGACGACCAAGTTTGAGCTCATGGAGACGCCCCGCATGACGGACGACGAGACGATTGTCGTCGCGGTGCCCCTTGATGCGCCCACCAAGGCTGTCTGAGCGTCTGTCTCGTGTAGTGTCTACCTCTGTTGCATAAACGACGACACGTGTACGTTGAAGTGTGTGTTCTTGTCAGAGACGCTGCCACGTCATGTACATATGTTTGTACTATCATAGCACCAACATGTGTACATGATCGATGAAAGATATCGATTGGAAAGGGGAGACACCGTCGCAGCATCTCTTACAACCGTCTCGGTATACGTGCGTCGTGCAATGGGGGAATCTGCAAAGGCGTCATAGCACCTCTTTTCTGTAAAACACGCAGAAATTTGCAAAATACCCACAAATTCCCAGGAAGGGAAGGGTAAAGAGGTGTTCAAATTCACGGGAGCAGTCGCAAGTAGGAGGCGAGGTGGAAGGAGGGTCTATTCCCTCGAAGTACCCTTCGATCGTGGTGCGTCAGCGGCATTGTATGACGTGTTTTGCAAAGTTCTGCGTGTTTTTCCTGGCTATGACGCTCTTTGCGAATTCCCCCGCGCCATGTTATCCCTATGGGCTTCGCTAACGTAGAGTCGGAGGCGTAGCGCGACGATGCCATACCAAGTCTCACTAATGAGTCGATAGTTTGTCGTTAGTATCTCAAACGTTTCCTTCATGAGACGGCTGGCTCTTCGCAAGCGCCTTGACAAGCGTCTCTTCCGGTAGACGCGGAGAAGTGAGATGCGATTGGAGCGTTTTCGTTGAGTTCAAAGCAAGGAGACAGAGCTCAATCAAAGGCTTATACGATTGAGGCCGATCAGACTACTAGCGTTCCCTGTGGTGCGTGGAACGAGTACGCCGAGGTTGTGTATATAGCTGTAGTGAGTTTCAGAGCTATTCACAGCGTGGGGGTTTCCATCACTACCTCTTCTTTGCTTTCAAGCACAAGTGAATCGCTCGAACGTATGGAAGGACTCTCGATCTCAGCAATGAGCGTTGGCCGCCGAGCGCTCTCGTCCCAAGGGCCCGCCCTCGCTCGGAGGTATCAAGGCGCTCCGCTCAAGACCAAGCCGGGCTCACTGGACCGTAGCAACTCGTTGCGCCAGAGCCGCCAGCTCGAAGCCTCCAAGTACAAGCTCGCCGACGGCTGCTGCTTGAGCGACGACAATAACGAAGCCGACGAGCACAAGTACCCGGAGCCGACGCGCATGTACCGGCCCAAAGAGTGGACGCCCGAGGTCGAGGAAGGTCGTGAAATCGCCCACCGCGACAGGCTGCCACAATGAGTTTACGTAGCGTTTCGCATCCAGCAGACTGGGTGGCGGGACATTAGCGACTACAAGGCCAAGTACGGCGAGCCCGAACGCTGGGAGAACGGCTTCATTCGGTGTACGCGCGTCAAGGCGAGTGGTTACTACACCTATTGGTACGCAGCTTCCACGTCAGCACATGCTCCAATACGATCGCTATAGGCGCCAGTTTCGCGAGTGCGACGACAAGTACTTGAACAAGGTCAAGGTGTACGAGTATAACTAGCATTCCATTGTGTAGACGCGTAATTGTCATCTGCTGCTGCCTACTACAGTAGTATATTGTGTCTAGTACGATCGCACAGCGTACAGCACCGCCGCAACGAGCACGAGGAGCGAGGGCACAAGCAACCATAGAGGCCAGGCCGTCGTTGCAGTGGTCGGCGGGGCGTTGACTGGAGTGGCTTTGGCCGAGAGCAAGTGCCCGCCCCAGCGCTTCTTGTCTTGGTCGCGAGCAAGCGCCTGCTTTTCTTTGCATTGCGCCAACGCCTACAGAAGGCATCGTATCGACGCGTGGCCTACGTGGCGTACCGCGCGGATCGCCTTGTCGTTGGGCTGGAGCCGCACTGCTTTCGCAAGCACCTTGGCAGCGCCATCGCTGTCGTTGGCGTGGAGAAAGGCTTGGCCCTTCCGGTACAAGGCCTTGACGCTGTCCGCATCAATGGCCAGGGCGAGGTCGCACTGTTCGTGCACCTTGGCCGTGTCGAGCAGCGTCTCGTGGAGGTAGCATGCTGCGAGATTGAGATGCACTACCCAACAACATGATTCCTAGTGCTACACACGATCTAGTATCGTACCCGGCAGCCGCGCGACGTTGACCGCATCACGGTGCTTGTCCAGGAGCTATAGACATCGTCTCAAGGCAGTGGCTCCAGGCGGGCACAATACCTCAAACGCCCACGTGCCTTCGTCAAATTCGACATGGAAGAGCGCGCGCTCGTAGCAACGGACTGCCGCCGCGTAGTCGCCGGCCTTTTGTGATGTCGCGCCGGCCTCCTTGCACTCGGCGGCCATCTCGACGCGCGTCTCAAAGATGCACGACCGCTCCTACATGCACGCTGCGTGAGACACGATAAGAATGCACGCTGCTCGGACGCACGCGCGTCAAGAGCTCTGTGACCGGGTCGGTCGGCGCCGTTGTCGTCGTCGTCTCGGTCATGCCCGCCTTGCCTCAAATCCAAGCATCGACCAGCGTTCCTGGTTTTGGGTTCATCATTCTCCATCGCGCCCACGCTATTCACACCCAACGTTACGTCTGGACTGTGTCGACAGAACGAGCATCCTTCGCATCCAGTTGGTCTACAAACTCACAACATGGATATACATACGTATTCGATGTCTTTGGCATGGTGCCCACGCGGCGGCACAGTCTCGTCCGCAGCGAAAGCCATCGACTCTATCTTTGTTTGGGTGTTTTTAGATTACCACACCCATACACAGGCTGTGCACAGGCGCCTCCTTGCCCATGCCCATGCGCTCTTTTGTCCGGCGAGAAGACCAGCGTATACTCTTCATGCACAGTCCAAGCTATTAGAATAAGTCTGTAGGTACGCATGGCGCATGCTGTGGTGTTATCTCGCTCGATTGGCTTTGTTTGGCTCCCGCGGAAAAGCCAAATTTGACTTGTCCGGATAGCAGCACCGACCGCCAAGCCAATAGCAGCAAGCTTGACACGATGGGCGACGAAAAGTGGAACTGGGCCGAGCTCATCAAGATCAAGAGCGAGCCGTCGGCCGCCAGCGTTGTCTCGAGCGTGCCTGATGTCCCATATCGCGAGAGCGCAGCACCGCCGCGCCGCAAGGCCAAGCCTGCCCACAAGACGCCCGCGCCCTACTACACCAACATCTCGCAGCCGCAGCCGCTCGCGACGATCGGTCTCGAGGCCGAGCTCGAGAGCAACAAGTTTGGCTTTACGCAAACAAAAGCGGCGCCGTCGGACCTCGACATGTCGTCAGCCGAAGAGTTTTCCCAGCTGCGCGTGCGCGACCGGGTCATCTCGGCCGACGACATGCGCGCCAACATGGAAGGTCGAACAAATGTGCGCCTCGCCGAGCTCGAGTCCAAGCACCTGAGCCGCCTCGAAAACGAAGATATCGATTGGGTGACGATCGGCGTCGTCACGAACGCCAACCACCTCACTTTGCCCGACGGAAAAAAATACGTTGTCTGGACCATCTCAGACCTCGACAACTGCATCGTGAGTCTCTTCCTCTACAACGATGCGTACGAGGCGCACTGGAAGGTATAATATCTATATCCTATTTCAAACTAGTTATAAATGCCGACAATCGACTTTGATCGTTTGTGGTAATAGGGCAGCACGGGACGACTCGTGGCCGTCATCAACCCGGTTGTACTGCCTGCGCGCGAGACGGGCAAGTTTGCTCTCAAGGTATCTGACGGCCACGACATTGCCATGATTGGTACACTTTGTTGGACACGAATCCTGTGACAATATGCTCTTCATGGACTACGTAGGTACGTCGCTGGACTTTGGGTACTGCCAGAGCTATACCCTCGGCGGCCGACAATGCAAGATCGCCGTCAACATGGCCAAGGTCCTACCAGATCGACGCCTAGTAACCCTAACCACGTTCTAGTCGCGCTACTGTGTCATTCACTTGGCCCAGCGCCTCAAAGAAGCGGGCAAAGGGCGGCAAGAGCTCAACTCGGCGCAGACCTTTCGAAATGACGTGTTCAAGGACGGCGACGGTGTCCGCAACCTCTCGTCCGGCTCTTACGGTACCTCACCAGAATAGTATCAAGTTGATACTATTCCATTGCTATAGCCCCCGAACGCGCGGCCAAGAAGGTTGCACCCAAACGCAAAGCAGCAACGCATTTGCTCACGTCGTCAACGCCACCAGCCACCGTTGTCTCGGCCATCGGTGATGTGGCACTGCACGCGCACAAGAAGCACAAGCTGACGACGCCTTCGGCTGCCAACTTCAAGCCGTCAACCATCGACGATCTCAAAGCGTCACTGGCCCAACCACCAGCCAAAGGCTCGTCGATCGCGCAAAAGTCGATTGTGTAGGAAGCTACATGACGCGCGTGCGTCACGGATAGCGTCTCCTAACAGTGGTGTAGGGCCAAGATGCTGGGCATTGGTGCCAAGCGCAAGAATGCCAACCTCATGCAGTTCATGACGCAACACCAGTCGACGTCAAAGTCGGCGCCACCAACGAGTCCGGCAACGTTATCGCGCCCGGCCGTACCGCCGCCGTCGCTTGCCACCAGTACACAACAACACCTCGGGTATTGTGATTATCGAGCGTGTTACTGTAGTGCCCCGCCGCGTCTCGGCGCCGGCCAAGCGCCCTGCGTCCGTAGTCCCTCGACAAGTGTCGGCGCCGCTCACCGGACGGTCGGCCAACGTGGCGTCGCTGCGCGCTACGGGTATGGTGGCCATGGACTTTGACGCGCCCGGCGTCCCGTCTGTCTTGCAAGCCAAGCCCCGTCATCGCTAAATTGCTCGACCCTCTCGATCCACCAAATGTATCAAGTGATCAAGTATCAATACACATTTAAACATTTAAAAAGGAGAAACAAAATGGCTAGTCGGTCCAGTACTTGATCGTGGGTAGGGTTACATCCACGGCCACGCCGAGCTTGCACGCAGTCGCAACGACGTTGAGGCTGATGGCGCGGCCGTGGTACACTTGGTCGCTCGTGTCGGCAAAGAGACCAAACGAACGGACGCGCTGGACTCTGCAAAAGCCCGCGTCGAGCAGGTAGCTGCGCAAAATCGGGAGCGTAAACCCGACCTTGTGGTAGTCGTAGGCGTCGTCTTGGCCGCCGTAGATCATGCGCATCACGCGGTGCTGCTCTAACAGCGTCAGCGTCGGGTCCAGGAGCAGTGAGGCAAGCACGCTCAAGTCGAGCACCGACAAGTAGAGCGCGCCGCCCGGTACAAGGACACGAAACCACTCGGCAAGCGCTTTGGTGACCGCATACGACGCGTCGGCGCCGTGCCCGACGTGTTCGAGTGCATGCGATGAGTAAATGGCCGTGACCTACACCACATCGTTGCTCGTTCCTGCCTCTTGCATCGCGTATACCGAGCTCGTGGCGAATCGGTGCAGCGACGGCATGTCGCTTCTCGCATCGGGCATCGTCGCGCCAACGTGCTGAATGTTGACAAGTTGCCAGCCGTCGCGCTGTGCGTGGCCGCCAATGTGCAGCAAGATCGGCGCTTGGTCGAGTGTTGGCTTTCTGGGCGTCGGAGCATGCCTGGTGGGCGGTGTCGACGGAGCTCGGGGTGCAAACAAGGGCACGGCGATGTGCGTCGGACGCTCGGCTTTGCGGTCCCACGCCGCCACCATGGCGTCGCCAAAGTACGTGGCAAACGCTTGCGTGTCGAAGAGAAGACTTTGTGTCCTGCACCAAGGTGTTGGAATCGACAGCAAGAGAGCGTGCACTGCACCGGTTGCTTTGAATAGCATCGCGGAGGCGCCGACGGAGGGCATGCGACTGGGCGAGTAAGACCGCCGTGTCTTCGTACTCTTTCAGCGAGTGGGTCGTCATGACAGCGTGGAGCTCGTGGTGCAGCTACATGTGTGAGCAAGCGATGCCACCGTACGTGCGTGTACCGAGGCCGTGGCGGAGCTGCCAGCGCGATTGCTTATGCGGTCGCCTTCGAGCGTCACAACGGGGACGCCTATACGACGTCATAGGACGTCACGACGACGACGGTGTCGTACCTGCCCAAAGCGCATCGACGAGCGTCGTATGTCCGTTCTTGAACGTCGTGTCGAGCACGACATCAGCGGCTTGTTTGACCTAACGTATCAAGTTGATACAAACGCCAGAAACCAAGGCGCGGGTACCCACGTATGATTGATCCATGGACTCAGCGCCGTAAAGACCAAGCGCGACCCGTCGACGCCCTGGGCGACTGCTTCGCCCACCAAGTTGGCCCGCGCTGCCTCGTGTCCCTACCAACAAATTCCGTAAATTTGCACAAAAAACAAAAATAATGGACCGAGTACTGCATGAACCAGAGAACGCTCGATGGGACGCGACGCAGCACGCGCATCCAGACGCCAAAGAGCGTCGGGTCCATTTTCTAGCGTGCAAAACTCTGTTCAAACGCGATTTGTCGTCGAATACACCACCGACTTGCCAGTTGCTAAAGGTGGCAAAGACAAAGGGCGAGGCGGGCAGCTTGGCGTCGTCGCGCGAGGGTGGGGCTTGCGACGTCACGTGGAACATGAGCTAGGCGTCGATCTCGCAGACGCCGTTGGTGGCCACAACGGTACCTGCTTGTGATCGTTGACAATGTAGCTCAGCGGAAGGTACACAAGCTTTTCGGAAAAGCTATTGGCCATGCGAGGCGGTGACGCGATCGCGTCGACGACAAAGTAGTCGATAAAGCTGGCGCCCGTCGTTTGCGGAAAGCCGAGAAAACTCATCTACCCATGCGAGATATGGATAGTGGGAATGGCAGATGGGGGCCAACCTGGACCGGCGCGGGGCGATGGCTCAGGATCGGCAGTCCCGAGTGCAGCGTATGGCCGTTGAGGTCGACCAAGACGTGGATACCGTGGGCATGAATCGTCGTAGCAGCCTCCACCGTACTCAAGCCCGTGAGCGACACCATGGCATGGACCCCGTCTGTGATGTTGGAACGCCACCAGCTGCCTTGGTCCGAGAGGGCAAAGCAGTAGACCTACGCCAGGACGATGGCTCGTCATCTCTGGCGATACGAAGGACATACCTCGAAGCGAGAATCGCGCTCAAGATAGGACACGAGGCCCCGCACAAGGGTTGCAACAGGATGGAGACCAAAGTCGGACGAGATGAATCCTGTGTAGCGATGCGAATCTGGTCCGTAAACGACGTCCGTACCGAGTTTCAGCTGCGTGATTGACGTCGTCGTGTCGCAAGGAGGCATCTGGTGCGAGCTGCTCTGCGCCGCAAGGGCGTGGCGAGCAAGCGCGAGCGTCGCTGCCGGCGAGAGATCGTAGCAGTCGGCCGCGACAATGTTGGAGAGTAAAGTGCCCTCCGCGTGCCACGTCAGAAGGTCACAAAGATGCTGCCCAGATGGGACAGCCACGTTGTGCTATGTACCTGCGACAAACCGCGGAGCACCATCGCGCGCACCTCATCGGCAACACGGTCGTGGTCAGTCCAGTTGGCAACCCAATTGCGTGCCTTGAAGAGCTTGATCACGTCGTTGCTCAGACGCTTCTCGAGAATCGCGACTTCGTAGGCGCGGAGCGCCTGTGGCATCTTGAGCTGGCCCAAGTAGCAGTCGCCCAGATGCAGCCACATGGCGGCATGGTCGGGAAACCAGCGCACGCCGGTGCGAAACGTGGCGGTCGCTGCTGGCAGATTTCCAAGCGTATATTGCGCGACGCCTAAGAGCTCGTAGGCGAGGCTGCGCTGCGCGTCGTCGTGGTTCGTCGCTGCCAGCACGTCGCGCGCTGCGCGCTCGAGGCCAGCCATGTCGTTGGCGCGGTACCGCTCGCGCATGGTCTCGTACGGCGTCATGAACATGGCCATCGCAGCCGCCAGCATGAGCAGCACGACGAGCACGTGCATGGCAGGCGGGCGACGTTCCATGCGGGCTTCCTCGAGAAGATCGCGGGTGTGTGGTCACTTGTCCGCGGCTTTTGATTGGCCAAAAAACCACGTGCTCACGTCGTTTCACCAAAGTGGGTGTTCTCGGTGCCTCCTTTTCTATGCATCCTTGTCGCAATGGGAAAAACGTGACTTGGGTACTTTGCTACTCTGCACCTCATTGGCTAAAAAACAATCTTTCGCCATCGACCATTCGCCAGCTAATGAAAAAGGGAATCCGCGTCGCTCATTGGCCATCGTATGGTAAAAGGCGTTGTGATTGGCCAGCTAATTAAGCGCAGCTCACCACCGCCCACCGGCGGCTGCGGCCAGTTTGGGATTCGTTACTACACGGACGATGGCGTCGCCCGAAGCGACGCGGGCGTCCATCACGCAGCCCCACCCCGTGGACTCGTTCCGCCTCAGCCATGCGACCATGGAGTACGGCGAGCACCTCAGCATCGGCCGGCCGCAGAGCCCGACCAAGTCGCCCAAGCTACTGCGCTCCATCTTCCAGGAGCACGGGCTCTCGGTGGCCGAGTGCATGTTTCGCGTGCGCATCTCGGGCATCCAGTGCCGCAACCTCGAGTCGCGCAAGTTTGGCGGCAAGTCGGATCCGTTTGTCGAGTTTTACTGGGATGGCATGGACATGCCATTCACGACGCCGGTCATCAAGGCCGATCTCAACCCGACGTACAAGGGCGTGACGATCGCGTTCGAGTACAAGGAAAGCGTGGCGATGCTCAAAGAGCGCAAGTGCAGCATCAAGGTCTTTAGCAGCCGCACGTTCCAGAGCAAGACGCTCATCGGGTCGGCGGTCGTCGACTTGCTCTCGATCGCGACCGGCCCGGTCCATCACGACCACCACCTCGAAGGCTGCACGAACGGCCGCGTCGTCTTCAACTGCTACATGGAACAGTGCAACAACTGGAGCATCTGCGTGAGCGACGTCGGTCTCGTCATGCCGGCCATTGGCAACGAGATCGACCGACCCGAGGGCCACGATCTCCAAGAAGACTCGTCGCTGCCGCTGAAAAAGTACGCCGTCTCGTACAAGTGCACGATCGGCACGTCCGAGTCGTTCCATCTCGGCAACACGCTCAAACCCGCCGAACGCATCGCGATCGAAGATGTCGACCAGATCAGTTTCCAGTCGCTTGCGCGCCTCAAGGTGCTCTCGGCGCGGCCCATGTCCCGGACGTCGTCGACGACGACCACGACGGCCGTCCTGCACGACGACGAGACAATCATGCCGCCGCCCGCCCCGTCGGCCGCCGACTCGCTCACGACCATGAACGAAGACCCGATCCATGTCGAGTGGACGTCGGCGGCGGACCACCTCCCGGCGATTACGCGCTACTCGACCTTTGACGAGCTCATGTCGGCGACGCTCAAGCTCGAGGTACCACTTGACCATATTGTCATGCTCAGTGGTGCGTAGGTGCGCAATCTCTCGGGCGGTCGCGGCCAAATGTCGTCCGATACGGACAATGGCTTTCTTGTCATGTACGACAAGTACAAGAAGGAGCTCGTACGTCCTTGCCCTTGCGTTGATGGCGGGTCTCATATATATCCATGCGACTAGGCCGAGACGGACGAAGACGTAATCTTGGACGCCGAGATGCCCAACACGGTGCTCTTTGGCCAGAGCTGGCTCTCGCTCGAAAAGCTCTTTGAAGACGCACTCCAGGAGCGCATTCGGCGTCGCCATGAAACCAAGGACCGCGAGTCGGAGCTCCTCATGCTCCAAATGCAGCTCGACAACAGCGTCACGAGTCGGTTTGAGCAAAATTTGACGCTCAAGGGCCACCAGGTCGGCGTCATCCACGGCACGATCCTCTTTACAAAGATCCCAGACGTCCGGCAACTCCGGAGCGGCGTCATTTCGGAAAATGGCATCTCGTCGTCGTCGAGCGTCATTGTCGGGCTGCCCCAAAACCTCAAAAAGTCCAAGTCCAAGGTCATCATCCCGATCGAAGCGCAGCGGATCCTTGAAAAGATGCAAGATTTGATCGAGCTCATGTCCAACACAGCCAAGGACGACAAGGAAGGCAAGATCCGCAAGGCGACCAAGATTCTGCGCATGCTCCAAGTGTCGCACAAGGCGTCGATGCTCTCGTGGGTCTACGCGTCGTCCGAAGCGCTCGATGAGACCAAAGCGATTTTGCTGCGCCTGTGGCAGTTTCTGCTCGAGAACATTCGCGTCCGGCACTATGCACTGCGCAACATCTTTTACGAGCTGCTCTTCTACCTCGTCAAGCGCGCCGAGCTCAGCGACTTGCCGCTGCTCGGGTTCGACTCGGTGACGCCGGCGGCGGTCGGGCTCTTCCGCCACCAAGACAAGACGGCCAAGAAAGACCTCGAATTTGGCTTGAAATTGCGCTCGATGCTCGTCGAAACCAAGTTTTGCGTGCTCCAAGCCGTGTCCGTGCGCGGCGTCATGAACAACAACTTTATGTTCTTCGTCGCCCGCATGCTCTCGGTGCTCTGCTTTCGCCTTCCAAGCTTTGGCGTCGAGCTCTACTCGCTCTGGGCCGAGTCGTACATGGAGCCGGTCGAAGAGCTCACAGAGGAGTTTGAGATGAACGCAGGTGCGTCCTATCAACCATATCCTCTTTCCACCTTGAGAACTTCTGACGATTCCGTGGCTAGATGCGGACCTGTTTGCGATGGACGGTCTCGAAGCGCACTTAGATTGGCGTCGGTTCCACAAGGCGCTCTGCGATGCGTACGGCGAGAAGGTGCTCAAGACGCAGGAAGACGACGCCGAAGACAAGTACGAGGTTGTCGGCGAGGCGTACCGCGCGCGGTTCCGTCGCCTGCCCAACGAGACCAACACGCTCAACATCTTGCTGCTCGACCAATGGCTGTGGTATGTGCTCGACACGCTCGCGGTGCTGCATCAGAAGATTGGGTGGGTCCACCTCCCCGGGTACGCGCAAGTGCTCAAGGTGTTCTTCTTGGAGCTCAAGGGTCAAAAGTCGGGGTGGCTGCCCCCAACGTTGTACAAGCTCTCGTGTACGATGCTCGCAAACCCGACCATCATCAACCCGATGACGACCTTCTTGCTTTCGTCGACCAACGTCCACGACATCCCCGCGGTCATTGGCGTGGTCGAGCTCCTCGGCGTGTGGATGTACATGATCCGGAGCTGGCGCGTCCGCCTCTCGTCGTACCGGCTCTCGCACCTCGAGAACAACGACCGGTGGAACTTTCACCAAGACGCCCAGTACTCGATTCCAGCGGGCGACGAAGTGTCGCTCCTCCCGCCGACGTTTGACTTTCGGTTCCTTTGCTCGGCGCTGCACATCCTCCTCGAGTCGGAGCACACGCAGATCTTGCTCACGACGCTCGAGTTCCTCTACAACACGTGGGACTGCTTCCCGGAGCGGCACGCCGACAAGCTCCGGTCCGAGCTCGCGACGCCGTCGACGTTTTTCAAGCTCTTTCTGCACTGGCACAGCGAAGTGCGCCACTTCTTCCACACGTTGATTGCGTTCCGGGCCATGAAGGCGCATGGCTGGACGCAGCGCGGGTCGTCGTTTGTCGACACCCCGCCCCACAGCCGCCGGTACATTGACGCGGTCGGCGCCGACTTTACCTCGTCCCTCGGCGCTGACGACATGCCGGCCGAGAAGCGCTCGCGCAGCTACAGCGCGAGCAACATCATCGAGTCGGTCTCGAAACGCCTGAGCTCGGTCTCGTCGTCGCCGCGGGCCATGTGGAGCTCATCGCCGCGGCAAGCGCAGTCGCCGACGACCGTCACGATCACGGTTGCGTCGCCCAACGGGAGCTACTCGCGCGGTTTCCACTCGGCGTCCAACTCGGGCGCAAACACGCCGACCGGCGACTCGAGCAGCCGGCGCAGCTTCAACGAAGAGTCGAGTCGGAAGGACCGCAAGACGCGGTCGGTCTCGGAAGATTTCTCGCGCAAGGAGCTCAGCGGGTCGACAAAGATGGACCCAAAGATCCAAGTTGCGTACCACCGGCTCCTCGAGTCGGTGTACGTGGCCGCCAAAGTCTACGCCGAGAAGCTCTCGGACGAAAAGACAAAGGGCGTCGCGTCGACGCCGCTCTCGACGCCGGTGACGTGGAAGAAGAAAGGGTCGCTGCTCAAGCAAGGCTTCCTGTACAAGAACCAGTGGAAGCCCAAGTTTTTCTCACTGCGCAACAACAAGCTCGGGTACGCCGACAGCGAGAGCGGCAATGTCAAGCGCGAGATCAACGTCATTGGCGCGCGCATTGGCGAGATGGCCAACCAGATCGACCAGAGCAACGGCAGCCGCACGATCCTCTTCAACTGCTTTTACGTCGACAATGGCCCGACCGCGCGCCTCCAGCTCTGTGCGCCGTCGTTTGACGAGCGCCGCGAGTGGATCGAAGTGCTGTCGCAGAACGCGGCCGAGACAGAAGACAAGCAAAAGGAAAAGTCCAAGCTCAGCAACGAGCAGAGCGCCGAAGCCAAGTGGGACGTGCTCAACGACAAGCTCGAAGGCATCTCGGGGCTGCACACGGCCAGCGTCGAGAACGTTGCGTCAACGCTGCTGCCGTACACGGTCCAAGCCACAAAAGAGTATGTCGTTGTCCTCGAGGATCCGCCCAGAGGCTCATGGGGCGGCGTAGGTGGCTCAACTTTCGCGTCGAAGCCATCGACATTGACTCGCGCATTGCGTCCGGCCAAGAGTTTTCCCTCCCTGTGCTCATCTCCAAGTCGTCGACGTACGCCGAAGACGTCTAGTCCTAAGCTCCCTCGACCCTGGCGCCATGATAGGCCAGTGCCGAGATGCCCCAATCCAGCTATGTTCGTGTTTCGCATCTTGTGGCTGACGAGGAAGCTCGTACCTCCTTGGCGCCGCCACGAGCAGCGCTACCTACTATGGCCTACACACGGAGATGACGACAGAGGCAGCAGCAGCATTCGTTGGCGTGCGGACAGAAGCCCTTTGCCTGACGGACTGCCACGTAATCCGGATACGCTGGTGTCCGGATAGGAGGTTGTCCGGATAGGATGGGAGTTCCGGATACGCCGCACTTGGCATGGACGGGAGCACGGTCCGGATCGGGGTCGTCGGCGACTCGGGCGTCGGCAAGTCGTCGCTGGTGCACTTTGTCTGTCAAGGCGCGAGCCTGCGCCAGCCGTCATGGACGGTCGGCTGCACGACCCAAGTGCTTGTATGCGCGATGCGACGGCGGCGGTGGCGGCTCATGCACCGTGGTGTAGATGCGGCAAAACGAGACCTTTGTCGAGTTTATCGATGTCGGTGGGCACCCGCGGTACGAGCTGAGTCGCGCCGCCTTTTACCACCAGCTCCACGGTACGTCTGCCATCATCGGCGCCCAAGGTGAACGTGCGAATGCTGCGATAGGGCTCATCTTTGTCTACGACGCGAGCAACAAGCGGTCGTACACCAACCTCAAGAAGTGGATCGCGTACGAAGGGCCTCTTGCAGCAGCGTCGATCATGGCTGAGCTTCTAGGGAGCTCAACGCGGCCCAGCGCGTGCGCGGCGACGTCTTTGCCGACGCTCGCTACCAATCGGTAGCCATTTTCTGTTGAACCAAGGCGACAAAGATGCGCTAGGTGCAGCAGCTCCCGACGCTCATCGTTGGCAACAAGCACGACCTTGTGACGTCGACGATGAAGCGGTCGTCGCCCATGCAATACTTTGAGATGGAGGCCATTGACGCCGTACGTACAACGTCATATGACGCGCTTAATTATGCGCCTTCGTGTAGAGCGCGCTCCAGTGCACGCTGGACTGGTCGCGCTTCAACCTCTTCCTCGATCGCGCCGCGATGGCCATGCACCAGCCACTCCCGACGGGCGACGCGACGCCACGGGCAACGACGCGCAGTCACGCAACCAAGCACGCGTGGTGGTGACGCACCTGCTCTCGGTGTGACGCGCCGTGTCGACGATGGACGCCGACTGGAAACAACGAAATATATGTATTAAAACTCGATCGACCGGTGGCTTGGTACACGCTCGGCCGGGTGGTCGACGTCGAGCTCAAAGTCGGTCGCGTCCGACTTGCGGTGCGGCGACTGCCGACGGTCGAGGTCGCTGTACAGCTTTTGCTTGGAGCGCGGCGAGAGATACGTGCCTTGGACCGAGTAGTCGATGATGTCGGCGCTCATGCTCGAGTCGTTGAGTGGTCGGCCGGCCGTCGACGCATACGAGTCGTCGCGCGTCTTGGGGTTCTGGATACGGCCATGGAGGTTGTTGTGGTTGGGCGACTGGAGGCTCGCGTATGGCGCCTCGGCGTCGTGCAGCACAAAGCCGTGGGGCCCCGCGGACGGCGGGCGATACAAGCCCGGCTCGCTCGTGCGGCCATACGCCGTTGCGTTGTACGGGTTGGGCTGCTGCCACGCGCTGGACGACGTCGTCGACATGGATAGCTTGTGCTGGAACTGCTCATCTTGGTGTCGCTGCGCTTGCTCGCGCTGCTGGCGCGCAACTTGCGCTTCCTCGAGCATGCGAACGCGCGCCTCGGCCTCGCGCTGCTCCTGCATGGCCTCTTCGGCGTCACGGCGACCCTTGGCGCGGGCGCGCCGCATGCAGATGCAGAAGCACACGATGAGGAGCATGAGGAGGAAGGCGACGCCGCCGATGATGATCCACCATATCCAGTCGTCGAGGCCCAAGAGGCCCTTGAAGATCGTCTGCCCGCCGGTCATGCTGCGTCGCGGTGATGGAGGAGTGAAGTGGTGCTGCCAGCGGATCCAAGACTCTGCGACTGATACTAACGCAGCCTGGCTCGAGGCCGTTGCACTCTGAACTTCGATTTTCGCTTCGAGTTGGTCCGCGACATGCCACAACTTTCGTCGCTCCTGCCAATGTACCCGTCAGCGTCGCGCCACCAAGAAGCCTCCGCCGATCAGTAGATATAGGGTCGATGCCATCGTTGGGGTCGGTGGCGGCGACCGCGTGCGAGGCGGCGAGGTGGTGGACGGAATCGGACCCATGTAATCTGCAGGCTGTCTATGAAGTTCGAACTTCGATATAAAAATTTCCTGCTTTGTATTTTATTCTATTTGCATAGAGAAATGCAATAGAAACGCACATTTTATTGAATATGGACAACGGGTTGCTGATTTTTGGCGCCACCACAAGTGTGTCAGCCTCTACGGACCGTCACGTCATTGGCTGCGGTCGGCCGCTGTAGCAGCGACGCGAGCGACTTGATTGCGAAGATCTCGTCCCTTTCGAGCTCATCATGTCTGGCCACTGACCACACGACGAAGGATGGACGGTGCAAGCTCAAAGGGCAAACTCAGAAAGGCCGTAATGGTCGTTGACGGAACAGCCAACGTGAGCGACGAGGGGCGGTGGACGTCACTCCCGTCGGTACGAATAGTCAAGAGTAGCTCACGCCGAGGACACGGACGCAAGCGCGCAAACGTCACGACGCGTGTCGCTGTCGTCGCCGTGGCTCGAGCGATCTTGGAGATCTTGGCTTGAGTTGGTTGCGTCCACCCATATTTGTCGCTGCATTTTTCACGGCAAGAGCCAAATGGGATCGCTGAAAGCAATAGCTAGCATTGTCGATGACGCGCCGGTGCGTCATGGCACTTGATTGGCGCTGGCGAGGAATTTGGTGCCTCCCCGGAGCTTCTCCCCGGGTGCCTCCCATTTACCGCCAGCGACTGCAGTCTCCACAAAGCTACTACTTGTGTACTACCCTCCGAGGGTCGACTGCACTGAATTTCAA